CGTCCATAAATAAGGTCCAAACCCCCGATGTTGATTCCGACACCATTACTTCCTCTTGGTTACCAGAGGCAGTAATCCCGGACTGAAATTGGCGACAAATTCAGCCAAGACTTGTGACTTAATTGTAGTTCTTGGTTTATATTCTATGTCAAACTCACTCATTTCCATAGCCCATTTGGCCAATCTACCCGAGAGCTCGGGTTTGTGAAGGATGTTCCGCAAAGGGAAATTAGTCACCACGGCTATCGGGTGACATTGGAATTAGGGCCTCAGCTTCCGAGCGGCGACTATGAGACCTAAGGCCAGTTTCTCCAAATGTGGGTAGCGAGTTTCTGATCCCATTAAAATTTTACTAACGTAATAAATGGGAGATTGCATACCTTCGTCCTCACAGACTAAAACTGCACTTACTGCGACTTCCGAGACCGCGAGGTAGACTAACAGTGTTTCACCTTCTTTTGGTTTCGAAAGCAACGGAGGGCTTGACAAGTACCTTTTCAAATCTCTCAAAGCCTGCTCAAAGCTGCCAATCTCCTCGTGAGCCTTTGGACTTACTTCAGGATTGACAGTTGGTCTGGGATGTCTTTGATGGCCTTGATCTTATCGGGGTTTACCTCAATTTCCCTTTGCGATACCAGAAATCCCAGAAACTTACCAGAGCTGACCCCAAACGCGCATTTCTCGGGGTTAAGTTTCATATTTTGCTTTCTTAGGATGTCAAAAGTTTCTTGCAGATGTTTAAGATGATCACCTGCATTTAAAGACTTGACGAGCATATCGTCTATATAAACTTCCATAATTTTTCCTATTTGTTTTTCAAACATCTTGTTCACGAGCCGTTAATAAGTGGCTCCGGCGTTTGTCAACCCGAAGGGCATCCCATTATAGAAATATGTACCGAAATTTGTTATAAAGGAAGTCTTTTCCTGATCCACCGGGTTTATCTTAATTTGAGTGTACCCGGAATAAGCATCGAGGAAACTCATTAACTCGTGCCCGGCGTAGCATCAATAATTTGATCGATGTTTGGCAGTGGTAAAGAGTCTTTCGGTCACACCTTATTAAAATCTTTATAATCTACACACATGCTAAATTTATTATTCTTCTTAGGAACTACTACTACACTAGCTAGCCAGTCTGGATACTTTACCTCTCGGATTGAACCGATATTAATTAAGCGAGTTACCTCTTCCTTGGTGAATTTATTCATGGCTTTGGCAATAGAGAGTTTATTTTGTCTTACCGGAGGTATGTTGGGAACCAAATTTAACTTGTGTATGGCTACCTCCGTCGGGATACCTATCATATCCACATGCGACCATGCAAAATAATCGACATTAAATTTAAGAAATTTAATAAAGCCAGACCTAAGCTCGGGGTGCAGTCTTGTCCCCAAGTGGAATTTCCTTTCTAAGAACTCTTCGAACAATGCAACTTGATCAAGCTCTTCCACTGTGGATTTCATTGCCTCCATCTCTTCTGGAACCTGGATATACCTTGGCACTTGATAAAATTCTGACGTTTCTGTCCCTAATCTAACTTCATCTAGTTTGGGAGCGGGCACCGGTTCCTATAATTGTTATGCCGTGTGTTCCTTTCCTTTGCTACTGGAGATCGAAATTGCATTCATCTCCCCTGCTACCGGGTGGTCACCCCTTATCTGTTTAACTCTTTCGGGCATCGAAAACTTTAGCAGTTGATGATATGTTGATGGTACAGCTTTCATCTCGTGCAACCATGGCCTTTCCAGAATAATGTTATATCCCATATCACTATTTACCACTTCAAAAAGAGTTGTTTTCATTATTCCTTCAGCGTTTGTGGGTAACAAAATCTCTCCTCAGGTTGTCATGCTCGCGAGATTGAATCCGACGAAGAGTTTTGTGTCCAGAATGATGCTTCTGGTGAGTTTAGCTTGCTCCAATACTCTCCATTATATGATATTGGCGGAACTTCCTAGATCCACTATAACACGTTTAATCTTAAAATATAGCACATTTAAAGAAATTACCAGTGCATCATTGTGCGGCAGCAGCAATCCATCTGCGTCCTCCTTCGTGAAAGTGATATTGTCTTTGGCGACTTCCCGGAGCCTTTTGCTATGGTTTATTGGTACTTTTGTCTTTTTTGCTGCCGAAAAGGTGACCCCGTTGATCTCATTCCCCCCGAAGATCATGTTGATCATTTAGTGCAGGGGATCTTCTCCTACTTTCGAGGGTTTCGCGTTGTCCTAGTGACGACCATATTTGTTCTTAGCTCGGTCACTCAAGAATTCTTTGAGATGACCATTCTTCAACAGTGTTGCCACTTCTTCCCGGAGGTGTCGGCAGTCCCCTGTCTGGTGGCTATTCGTCTCGTGCTATTCACACCACAAGGTGGGATCCTTCTGGCTAGGATCAGATCTCATTGGTTTCAGGAACCGTGCTCATTTGATGTTTCTCATGGCTGACACCAACTCTACTACACTGACGTCAAAATTCTTTTTTGATTTTTCTCTGTTCTACTCCTGTCTTTTTATCGACGATGGAAAGCCAACCTGGTCATCTTCGATCCTTATCTTTGATTTGTACCGGTTGTGAACATCCGCTCAAGTCGTTGCTTGAAACTCAAGCAGGCTTTCCTTCAATTTCCGGGAAGCGTCTGAACTTCTCGGATTCAGTCCCTTAGTGAATGCTTCAGCCGCTCATTCATCCGGGACAGCCGGGAGCACCATTCTCTCCTTCTGGAATCGGGTAACGAACTCTCGTAGCAACTCGGTCTCTCCTTGCGCAATCCTAAATATGTCAGCCTTTCGGGACTGTACTTTTCTGGCCCCGGCATAAGCCTTAATAAAAGAGTCCGCGAGCATCTCAAAGGAGTTTATGGAATGCTCGAGTAACAGTGAATACCACGTCAAGGCTCCCCTTGTGAGAGTCTCTCCAAATTTCTTCAGCAAAACAGATTCAATTTCATGAGGAGCTAAATCATTTCCCTTCACCGCCATTGTATAGGTGGTAATATGCTCATGAGGGTCCGAAGTTCCGTCATACATTGGCAAATCAGGCATTTTAAACCGCTTCGGGATTAATTCCGATGAAGCACTTGGCTTGTATGGCAACTGAGTATACTTCTTTGAGTCCGGACCTTTCAGCACCAGTGGTGTGCTAGAGATTTGGTCCATGCGGGCGGTCACTTCCCTCATAAACCGTAAGATTTCATTCTTGAAGGGATCATTTTCATTATTGGGGCCGGATCCTCCCCCATCCCCATCCCCATCAGAGCCAACTTCGCCCATCGGGGTGTTGTTATCGACCCTCTACGTTGTTTAATTCGCGGGAGCACCGGGAGGAACCAGATCTCCTCTATTCGCATTATTTTAAGCCTCGACAGTGCCTGCTTCAACTCCGTCATAACCTTATTCTGTCGCGTGAGGTGTCCTAGAATGATCGCATGTTGTTCTTGTAGGACCCTTACAGCGTCAATGACATGTTCCTCCTCAACATCATCGAAAGTTGTCTCCCGAACATGTCGAGGATATTGCCTGTCATGCACCGGCGTGTCGTCATTCCCTTCGTTGTGGGTTTTTTTGATTGAGTCCTCGAAATGAGGTTGATCCCCTCGAACCACGGGATTGTGCTTGTTGTTAACACCGTTATCTGCCATTTCTTATAATTTTTCTAAGACAAAATAATCAAAACTCGTTAGTAGAAAAGGCAAGGATCAACTTAATTGCACGACTGTCTAGGCCCCACGGTGGGCGCCAAACTGTTTACCCGTAAAACGGTACAGTTGAATTTATACGTGATTTCTAGACAAGTGAATTAATTCGATCTTGAAATAATAATATAATTGAAGAAATATATAACACTTAGCCTTGATAGGAAGACGAAATGATAGAAATAAAGACTCTGGTAGTGAAGATTCGGGGCGCAACAGTAATAAGAACAAGAACAGAAAATAAGAAGGTAAAATTGAATAGAGCTTTGAGTAGATTGTAGTATCAGTTTTGCCAGAACATTCGTGTCCTTACAATGATAACAAAATTCACTATTTATAGCTATGTCTAGGAAATGAGGTCCTAGGATCGTGCCCTTCTTTAATGTCAATTATGATGGCCATTGATGTTGATTTAACGGTGAGCATAAATGTCAAATTCCTTGTAACAGGAAACGTACTTAATGCTGTGGAATATTATCCATTAAATACTACCGGGCGAAGAGTATTTATTGCATCCTTATGAGTGTTATTCTTTTCGGTGTCAGACGGGACCGTTGCCTTCGATTTTGGCTATCCCCATCTTAAGTTCCACGTGTCCTTCTTTTGGGTGGCCACATAGCATTAGCATATTTTACCCTATACAAAATCTATGCACGAGCTTATGCAAACAGAGTTAAAGGCGGTAGATAGCCTGGTTCCTATATATAAGTCATGATTAACAAGAATTTATAATCGAACTTCGACAAATTGAAATGGAAGGGGTATAATTTTGTGCAAATATTTTCCTATGACGCAACATCATATTCCAATCAAATAAGCACTATCACTAATACTCCATCCGTTCTAATTTATGTGAACATGTTTGACTGGACATGAAGTTTAAGAAAAAAATGAAGATTTTTGGAATTTGTGGTCCTAAACAAGTCAAAAAGGGGTCCAGAGTATTTGTGTGATTATAAAAGTTTCTCATTAATGGTAGAATTGGAAGTTTAAGCTAAATTATTTTCAAAATTATAAAAAAATCATTCTTTTTGAAACGGACCAAAAAGAAAATAGGTTCACGTAGAACGGAGGGAGTACTAATTGACGTAGAATTTCGTAGAAGTTTCAGCTTATATATGAATGAAAGGCAAATATGGGGAAAATTATAGGCCTTAATTGAACGCGTTAACAATCACATCAATTTTTCGCCTGCTTTTTACTACGTGATGTTGACAACGATAGCCTCCTTGTAATTTCATCGTTAACATAATTCAACAATTTCTTTTCTATATAATCTTCCTTCTGTTGATTAAAAAAAAGTCTCCCTTCCATTGATGAAAAATTGATACAAAAAGACCAAGTCTTCCTTCCACTGCTTCTGATTCTTTCTTTTCACACTCCACAATTTCCACCCTTTTGGCGCCCTCACACATGACCTATGATCCACATACAAAAGTAACAAACACCAAACCAATTTTCTACTATAATATATATTTAACAATCACACGCCACAAATTTTAATCACATGATATTCTATAAAAGTCCAATGATTGTCTTCTTCTAGCTATCTTAATCACTTTTCCAGCAATACAAGAAACTATAAAACAAATATTATCTTTCCCCTTATAAGTTACATCACTTAATTTATTTAGTAGATCTCACTTTGCTTTATTCATTTTTCTCTTCCATACACACCATCACCATTTTATTAACAAACTTTAATTACTTATGGATATATTCCGCAAAGCCAAGGCTGTTAGATTCAAGAGTCATCTAGACAAGTACCTAGTAGCCGATGATGATCAAGAAAACACTCGTCAGAGCCGCAACGGTTCGTCGAAAAAATCACGGTGGCTAGTGGAACTTGTCGAAGGAAATAGCCACCTTATCCGACTCAAGAGTTGTCATGGCAAGTACCTCATAGCTTCTGATGATTCATTTCTTCTTGGCATGACGGGAAACAAGGTTACTCAGACATCACCTGAAAATACGAACGACTTGAGAATTGAATGGGAACCAATAAGAGATGGATTTCAAGTGAAATTAAAGGCTTTTGGTGGAAGATTTTTACGTGCAAATGGAGGGACACCACCTTGGAGAAATTCTGTCACACATGATAGTCCTCACACTGCGTCTACGCATAACTGGATTTTATGGAATGTGGAGACTGTTGATATACCGGAAAATGAAATGTTGTCAGATTATTTATCGATGGTTTCGAGCTTTTCGTCGGTTTCCGATGAACTTTCCGGCTTGGAAATGGGATCTCCGGTCACGAGTACACGTTCAAGCTTCTCTTCCTCGCCAAAGATAGCAAAGGTATGTTTCTTAATTATATCGACTTAAGATTTTTTTTTCTTCTTCTTCTTTTTTCCTTTAGAGTAAAAAAGATTTTTAGAAGTCAACAAAAGTTACTACAATCTTTCGTAAATCAGTTATGTAGAGTTTATGAGTTACGTACAATCGTGGTTTATTAGCAAGAATAAATTAGGAACAAAATAAAGCTCTTTTTTCTTCTCCAACATGACAAGTAACCGTAAGGATAACGTGTAATATGAAGACAATTTGCGTGTGGCCCAACGATAGAAAATAAAAGAGGGAACAACATTAACACGTGAAGGTGTCTCCCTCCAGTTTATAATCAACAATTTTATTTACTTTTTTTTATTTTGGTTCAAAATAAGTGTCTATTTACATAATCAATAAGTAATTAATTTTATTTTTCAAAATTTGCCCTTATTTACATATTCAAGTGTGTCAAGGTAACAATTAATTAAAGTTAATTTAGTAAATACATCTTTTTTTCTCTAGGAGTTCGTATTTTCTTAATGAGTATGCCAAAGGTAAATTGGTCACTCATTGTGAACCAAAAGAGTATATACAATGTTAAAACATAAAATACTATAGCAAGATAATCAGAAATCTTTCGGTACTAGCATACGAAGGTGTCTTATTACTTGCATTAAATGCGTTCTTACAATATTAGAATATAAAATTCTACACAAAAATAATTAGAAATCCAATTACTACTTCATCCGGTTCACAATAAGTGATTTTTCGGATGTTTTCACACATATTAAGAAATTTACATTTTCACATTAATTAGCAATGAAATTGACCATATTAACATTTATTATCTCTTCACATAATCACTCCTAACACATACTCCAACATTATTTACTCCAAGGGCAATGTAGGAAAAAAATAATTAATTCATTCTTGAAATCTGAAAAAAATTACTTATTTAAAATGATAAAAAAATAATAATTAAAAAATCATTTATTGTGGACAGAATGGAATAACATATTATCACAAATTTATTTAAATTTAATGTCAAAATCTAACTCACGAGGTCAAGAATTGAAGATGTTTGTAAGTTGTTCAGGCCTCTCTTATCCCAATGTAAACCTATGATTCTCACATGTATTGGTCCGTCCTTTCAGCGTAATTGAAAAGGAATAGGGGTAGTCCCAAACACGAAATAACTAGCAACAATTTAAAGTTATGAGTAAGATTGAAAGTGCAACAATGATCTTTTTTAGGTGTTGTTTGGTTTGAAGATAAGTTATATTGAAATTAGTTATATTGGGATTAGTTATGCTGAAACTAGTTATGATAAGATTAGTCATTTTAGTGATATTTCTTATTAACTGTTTGGTATGTTGTGTTAATCCTCAAATTGTCAATTTTATTGATTTATCCTAGAATTACTATTCCACTCTCTAGTAGGTGTAAGTTATAATGATACTATTTTTAATCCTAGATAACTTATTCTAGAATTAATAACCAAATAACGGATTAGGTGATACTAAATTTTTATCTCAAAATTATTTTTGTCTATTCATCATACCAAACGAACCGTCGTAGAATGGACTTATATAATTAGATATGTGATAAGTAAGTAATAGAGTATGTTCTTCTCATTTCTGAAAGAGAAACTCAAAATTCTACAAGAAAAACGAATTAACCCAAGAACCGAACATATCCCTTTCTAATAGCTCGTTTGACAAAAAAAAGCACTTTTGGCCAAGCTTTTGAAAAAAAAAAAAATGTTTTTGAGGAGAAGTAGAAGCAGAAAAAAATACTTTCTCTCCAAAAATACTTTTTGAGAAGCACTTTTAAGAAAAATACATTTACAAAAAATATTCAAAAGCTTGACCAAACACTAATTACTGCTCAAAAGTACTTTTCAAATTAATTAGATAAACACAAACTGCTTACCAAAAATACTTCTCAAAATAAGCTGATTTTAGCTATTAAAGTCTACTTTTTTCACGGCCATCATATAGATCTCTTGGCTAGACTGTAGAGATCTAGAAGGTTCTAATTGCAAGCGAGCTTCCTAATTCCTCTCCTTTATCCTTGCATCTATTTAAAAAATATGAAATCCACTAGAAGCATGGGGCCGGTTTGGTTCTTCCATTAATACAATTTTTTTGGTTTTTTCTACCATTAATATAAAAAATTTAACGTGTAAATTAAATAATACGTAGTATGTCTACAGTAGACCACAGCATTTATGTAGAACAGGGCTGACCTATTTCATGAGTTGGAAGGTCAAACCTTTGACTATGAGTCAGCAGGGCTGCTAGATCTTATCCTTGAAAGTAATTATCATTAGAAACCTTGGTCGTTTAAAACAAAGCTTGTTTTTGTTCAACTACCTTTTCCCCAAGTTTTTTCTCATTCAGCAAAGATGGCTCAACAGTAAGGGACGTTTATATCAGCGTTTATATAATCTGAGTTGAAATTTTTCAAAAAGTGTTTTTTTTTGTAAAAGAAAATAATATTAAGGTTCCATTTGTTTGGAGTTTACAAAAAAACTTTGCAAAGCTCAGTTTAAGTTTTTAAAAGTAACTTTTTCTTTAAATAAAAATACACTCAATTTTTTAAATCTTTCAAAAATAAATTGAGGAGTTGGCCAATGGGGTCATATTCACATGATTCATATGCTGAAGTAATGGGTCCAGTTATTTATGTGACAAGGCCCCTAAACAGAAACATGACAGCTGAAAAAGTCTATATTTACTCACATGATAAACCTTAATTTAATCACGCGGTTGGATTATCCGTGTCGCAATTGCTTAACTGCCAATTTTCTTGGCTGGCGCCGCCTGTCAACTCTCATACCCTTGAATTATTCAAACACCAGTCTTTTATACTATATCAACTTGCTCAATAAATAAGACTATAAATACTGAAAAATATTATAACATCAACCCAATTGTCAACATTTCCAACTCTCTTAATAATCCTCTAATCTTCATATCGTATTCCAGAAATATTTGTTCAACTACTAACCTTGTTTCTATAAAACTTTAAACAGAGTAGTACTCCTGTGATAAAAAAAACAGCAATGGACCTCTTTTACAAGGCTAAAGCAGTACGCCTAAGAAGCTACCACGACAAGTACTTAACAGCAGAAGAAGATGAAGAAACAGTAATCCAAGATCGTGATGGTGCTTCCAAGAATGCAACATGGACAGTAGAATTCATCAACGATACTGCTGAAAAAAATACCATACGACTCAAGAGTCGTTATGGCAAGTACCTCACTGCTTCTAACCAGCGATTTCTCTTAGGAATGACGGGGAGAAAAGTGTTACAAACTCTGCCAAAAAGACTTGATTCTTCAGTTGAATGGGAACCCATTAGAGAAGGGAATCAAGTGAAGCTTAAGACAAGATATGGTCAGTTCTTGAGAGCTAATGATAGTATTCCACCTTGGAGAAATTCAGTTACACATAATATACCTCATCGTACTTCAACTCAAGATTGGGTTTTGTGGGATGTTGATGTGGTCGAAATCTTGGTTCATTCTCCTGCTCCTAAGCCTCCTCCACCATTGATTCCTCACGAGGAATCGTTTGCTGCTTCTGAATCTAGTTCACCATCAATTGTTTCCTCAGCATCCCCGGCCAGCTTTTCTAGACAAGAGGTATTGTTATTTATCTCCAACTTTTGATGTTGAAGTTCATGGATATTTTGGTGGTTATGGTCGGGGCGGTGTCACGCTGGTTACGGGTTCGGTCTAACCCAGTATCTTTGGTCCAAACTGTATTTATCTTAAAATTCATTAACTATTATAAATTATTAATTTATAACACATTATTAACTTTTGTAACCAACTTTTTGCAACATTTTGAGTTTCATTCACCATTTTGAAACCTGGTTATCGATCTGAGATCGATGACTTAATTTAAAAAAGATGTTGAGAGATCTCCTTGGCTCACAAAGTGGCTTTAAGTGATAGGGAATTTTAATCTAAAGACAACATAGGAGATAGGGGAGTCAAAAGAAAGTCAGGATATGAAAAAAGCATCATTTCGGATCAAATGGACTTTTGTTATAAATGGCGGAATTTGACAGTTTACAACTTAGAGTAATTTTCAAAAATCAGAATATCAATTTTTCGCGAAATGAACTAATTTAGTCCAATCTAGCTCTGAAAACTAAGTCAAATTGACTCTTTATAAGTGAAAGTGCCATACAAGTTGGTATATATGGAGTTTCTACAATACTACTACTAGGCCTACTAAATTAGTTAAGGTCGGTTATATAAATCTTCGGTATTCATTTCGTTACATTGGCACATATATATTTCATTCCAACACTCAATAATTTATCTTTTCATAGAATTAGGGAATCTCTATTTTGTTATGGTATTGAAGCCTCCTTTTTTCTTGGCAGTCAGGAGAGTTTTTGGCTAGTTCATTGATGAAGTTTGGTGATGGGAGGTTGATTTATTATCATATTGCCGATGAATATGGAGAAATCAATGAGGGAGTGGAGGGGCTTTGCATACCTTTCAAGGGAAACAGTGTTGAGGAGCTGAGGAAGACATTGGAGGAAGAAACGGGGCTTGAGGACATTACTGTGTGTACTAAGAGTCCTTTGAATGGGAAGCTTTACCCTCTTCGTCTGCAGCTTCCTCCCAACAATGCAAATATGGATGTCATTGTTGTACCATCTGGCCTCATCTAAAGTGAGCTTTTTAACTTGTATTGACTTGGTTCCAATTTGTGAAATTTATAATCTTTACCTAGTTGAGGATTTGTTTCTATCTCTGTCTACTGTGCATCATGTTGGGAAAGGCTAAAGTTTAGGGGTTTGAGATTCTTGAGTGAAAAATATTATCTTTGAATCTGCATCTTGACAGCTGCTATTATCATTTAGTTACTGAGTTAAATATATGTAAGCCATTCAAGCAACCTGATTTCTTTGGAGTTTGGAGATGTTTTGTTATAGAGAATGCTAGTTTTTGGATTAACCGGGCGTATTAGGCATGTCAATATGCCTTCTGTTGTGACATGGATGTTACTAAGCTTAAGCTATTATGCAACATTACCTTGTAAATTGGTAAGATCAAGATCAAGTTTTATGATAGACGTTTTTTTCTGTTCACTTAAAGATTAACATTTTTTTGCATCTGATTTCATTCTTAACGAGTCTTCTTCCTTCTACTCTTCTTCTTAAGAGCAGCTGTTTGTACGGCCTTCTTTCCCCTATACATGCTATTAGTGCTGTTGAATTCAGAACTTGTTGAAACTTAATTAGTATAGTAGGATTCAGAATATTTGTTCACTCTGACAAATATTCATGCTGCTTGTACAGTGAACTGCAATTCTATGTGTGCTCATCAATCTGGTTAATTAGCTTTAATGCTGGTCATATTACCATTGATATTTCGACGTATCTCTAAACTTCTTGTTTTCGTGTATCAGTAGCAGGAGATTTTGCAAATACAAGGATGCCAATGTAGAGCAATTTGGAGGCACTACAATTGGTGCAACAGAACATCATATTTCTAGCATTTCGGTCAATGTGTGGGACAACCTATTCAGCCCTCAGTGTTTATAAAGCATGTACATATATTGTTTTGTGAAGAGAGTTGAAAGATAGTTGTCACTAGAGTAGGTAGTTTGGCAGATATATAGTTATATACCATATCTTAGCACTAAATAATGAAAAATGAAGGAGAATAGGTGGAAGAAGGGAGATTCTTTTAATTTTTTCCCCCTTCTCAGAGGGGGTGGAATTGTTTATTGAACTGAATTTTGTAGCTAGAGTTATATATCGTTTGGAGACTAGTTTGGCTGTAAATTCTTTATCATTGAGATCGAAATTTACCACTTTCTCTGGATTGTCCTCCAAAAGACTGCAAAAACCTTGAAAAGCAACATATGGAACATGGGCTTGCATACAGTTTGGCTAACTTGGTTCCCCTTCTCTAATAAGATCGTGACGAGAAGTGATCTTTTATTGGACTTCGACGATTAACTTCAACTTGTTTGAAATGTTGTTGCATGTCGTTTCATATCGTATTTTATTGTATTATTTGATGAATATAACGGTTTGATAGATTGTATCGTTTGTCGTTATTTCATGATGTCACGCACCAACAATATGAAAAATAAATTTACAACATTACTAAGAAAAAATAGAATATGGAGTAGAATTATTATATAAAAAAGTACGGCAAACGATAAAATATAATTATTTAATTAAAGGAGAGGCAAGATGAAAGAGAAAAGCAAGGAAACAACGCTACCGCACCAAATCCGTACGTTTTTCGTCATTATATAACAATGGACTTAACGATATGATACAATAAAATTTAAGTAACAATCAAAACAAACATTATATTTAAAGTAACAATACGATACAACACAATAGGTAACAACCATCCAAAAAAGTTGTAAAGCTACCTTAGAAGCAAAAAAAGACTAAAATTAGTCATTCAAAGATTATATATTGATGGGATTTTTACCTTCCTATAATACATATGAAACTTTATTACCCTTCCTAATCAAGTTTTAACTTAATTACATGGTTATATACAATTTACCAATTATATACAAATTAGTTTTAAATGAGTATCCTTTATATTAGGAATTGAATATAGAATCAGTCATTTCTCATCCTTATTCTCTCTCCCTCTTGCGCTCTCTCTCTCTCTCCTGCGCTCTCTCTCTCTCTCCGTCTCTCTGTCTCTCATTCTCTGTTCTTTCCCCAATTTTTCTTCCTCCGATGTCCTCTATTTTTTATTCTTTCATGTTATATATATTTTTAATGGAATTCATCAATGGATTTCAATCGTTTTACTATAGAGTTTTAACTTAACAATTTCCTTTCATGTTGTATAATTGATATTCAAATTGAAATTGTCAATCAATAAATTTTGAAGGTGTTTGACTCTCCACCATTGACAGCCATTAAAAAGCTTTGAAACTTGGAATTCGAATTTGGGTTTTCAAAAACCATTATTTGTTTGGATTGGGTGTTGTTGCAAACAATTGGAAATATTATTTGGAGTTTATATCTCAATTTTGAGGGTGTTTTGTGAATATTAGACTTGATTTTGGCTGAATTTCAGATTGAAACTCTAAGAAGAATAACACATGACATACAATATACTTATGAAATTGTAGTAAAGTTGCATTATAATTGTATGTAAATTGTATTTTGTTGAACTTATATTTTTTTTTTATTTGAATGTTGTACGAAAGTTGAAAAATAGTTGTATAATGTATGAATCGTTGTATAAAATTTGTATTTAAGTTGTCAATACTATCTTTTATATAAAGTTGTTGTTATGTATCAAAATTGTATTGAGAGAGAAAGTTTTGATTGGAATTTTAGAGAGGAAGAAGCACACACTACATACAATATACAAATCAGATACAAAATATATAAAATATACAAAAGTGACGAGCGCAAAACACACACTTAAATTATGCTCGCTAGTCAAAGATAGTATAGTATAATATCGTGTACACATGGATTGTATTTAAACAGTATTATCGTAGTTTGTAGCTAAAATGCTATCCATGAGGATCAACAATGGAGATATATATGAATTCTAACTACAAATAACTAAGAATCTAAAGCTATTGACTAATGACAATAGCAACAAAGGTAAGCAAGGAAGTTATCAATAGGAGAAAATATGGGCTGATAGGATAGGTGCTAGATAATTGTTCGGGATCTAACTCTAGATAATTCACTTCTAATGTTCAAGTGAGTCTCTCGAATTAACTTAATTATCAGTATATTTGTTTAATAGAAACTCCTCTCTCGATTAAGTCTCAATCTCACAATATGAACCAATTTAAGCTCGGTGAAGATATGCAAGAATTCATAATGGATTGGTCTTTAGGAGAACCTCTTTCGATTATCCTCCTAACTAGGTTTAATTAAGGATTCAACTGGCCTCTTTCGATTACTTCGAAGAATTTATGAACTCAACCAACAATATAGTGCAAATATATCACAAGTTATGCCTCTCTCGATTACAAGAACAAGTGAACATAGATGCAACAATTTAATCTTCCCAAAACGATTCAAATACATAAAAATAAAGTTACAATCCACAAACAACCATCAATACACCAAATTCATCAAAACTCAAAAGATTCTACTCCATAGACATGGAGAAGTTCTTCACAAATAAAATAAAAGTATAGGAAAACATAAATAGGTTAATAATAAGGTTCTACTCCATCAAAACCCAAAAGGTTCTACTCCATCAAATTGTATAATGTTAATTTTAAGTATGATGTAATCATTATAGTGCCGATTTAAATAAGTTTCTTTAATTTGTGATAGATTAGTGTATTGGGTAAGTGAACCAATCAAGTGAAGCAGAATACTTTACTGGCCCCGCACGATAGTTATTAACCTAGTAAAATCTTTGGACAAATTTTGATACATATCAACAACTTTATGTAAAAAGATAATATTGATAACTTAAATACAAATTTTATACAACTATTCATACATTATACAATTATTTTTTAACTTTCATACAACATTCAAATAAAAATATATATATATATAACTACAACAGAGTACAATTTACATACAATTATAATACAACTTTACCACGATTTCGTAAGTATATAGTAGTATGCCATGTGTTCTTCTTCTTCTTCTTCTTCTTCTTCTTCTTCTTTTTTGAGTTTCAATCTGAAATTCAACCAAAATCAAGTCTGATCTTCACCAAACACCCTCAAAATTGAGATATAAACTCCAAACAATATTTTCAATTGTTTGCAACAACACCCAATCCAAACGAATAATAATTTTTGAAAATCCAAATTCGAATTCAAAGCTTTATGATAGATTAGTGTTTGAATCTTCAATTCCTACGACCTTCTTACTAGGTGCTGAAATCATCTATTGAAAAAACTATCAAACTGCAGGATAATCTGATTTTCAAGAGAGCACAATACAAACCGAAGTGTCACAAGTTTGAATTCAATAACATTCTTGCACTGTTAAAGTTTCATACATAGTGGGTAGCAATGTAAAAAAAAAAAAAAAGGGCAAAAAAGTGACCAACCGGAGGTTATTTCAATAGGTTGATTGGCAGAAGATAACTTTTAGGCTTACCTTATTGAGAGAGACGGTGAGAGAGAGTGATGAAGAAAGAAAGAAAAATTGATGAGAGAGGCGACGATGAGGAAAAAGAAGAGGAGAGAAAGAAGGAAAAGAACGTAACTAAATCTCCTAATTTAAGACACTAATAATATATTGTATATAATTTGTAAGTAATTCTTGTTTATCGGAGTTTTTCTTGGCAAAGGGACATTGTTCCATATCGGAGGAAGAAAAGGCTTTTGATGGGTATATATATAATTGCTCTTCTTCTAGTTCTTAAAGAGGTAAGTAGTAGGCAAGCCTCGCGCCGTCGTCGTCGTCGCTCGCTCGGCTTCGGCTTCGGCTTTGGATTAATTCAATCCGAAATAACCCATGACCCGCGACCCAGTTCGATCAGGCCCGTTTTCTTTCCCGGTTATTTTAAATATATTTTTCCGCAATATTTCAAACAACCCTGTTTCTTCGGATTCGGATTCGGATTTGGATTTTGATTTGGATTTGGTCAAAGATCGATTGATTGATTAATCTTTTTGGACAAAATTCCTTTCAATTATTTAATTAATTAATTAAATAATTAACGAAAAATTCAATCCAGAATAACCCATGACCCGTGATCCGGTTCGGTCAGGCCCATTTTATTTTCCAGATTATTTTAAATATATTTTTCCGCAATATTTCAAACAACCCTGTTTCCAACATCCATGGCTGTTTCTGAAAGGTTGCAAACCTTTTCAGAAATAATGCCAGCAACTCTATAAATAGAGTTTGAATCCCAGAATCTTTCCTTATGAAATTTTCTGAGCTTCTTCTTCTTCTTCTTCTGCACAAAAACAAAATTCCAGTGTGTTTTATAGCCTTCGAGTGGCTTGCTGTTCACCGGCGTTTTGGTACCAACACTCCGATGAGTTAAATCGTTCTATCCTGGGAGGATATATTCCAGCACCTCGGGTACTTGAGGGAAATAATTTCCTTAAGGACACACTGTGTATTCAGTGAGCTCGATTTATTCCTATACTATTTTTTTTTCCAGAATCTATTTCGTTAAACAAGTATTACTAACTTTCTGTTTTTGTTTTTCCAGAAAGTTTAATTATTTATTACAGCAATACAGAAGATAACATTCTTAAGGAAATTAATTTTATTACATTCTGTATATTGTTTGTGGAGATTAAAACCTGTGTGATTTTCTACTCCTTCTGAATTTTACTATTCTGATTTGAAGATATAAAAAACTTCATCAGAGTATTGAAATTCATAAAACGATTTGAAGAACATAAAAACTTCATCGTTTTTCTGTGAAACAGTATATAAAAACTTCGGTTTATTTATTATACATACTGTTTTTGTTAGTAACAGTATTGTTTACTGTTCTGATTTTACCATTAATTGAACTTTTCTATTGTTTACAGTGAGAAATGACAATTGATAATGGAAATTCTTCTGCGACTATTGCGGCAACGACGATAGCCTCGTCAAGCCGGACTGCTGTTC